GGGGCAGGGCGTGCGCGATAGAATTTTTTTTTTTGATAGGGATGGAAGGCTTGGTTGGCCTAAGCGGATTTTGATCCGGGATTCGAACATGTCACCGTGCATGTGAGATAGTGCGCCACTTACCACTACACTACTTCCACCCATCGGGATTGTCACGACAAAGCAGTTTTCCTCGCATAGAGGTCAAAGAGATCCTTAAAGATTTGAAGACATACAAAAAGGTCAAGTAATCCATTACCTTCGCCAAAGAGAAAAATTCCACTCAATTCACAGATTTACCTCTTTCGAAGGAATTATCGAGCAGACTTGCAGGAATTTGCAAGGGCAACAATGAAATTGAAACTTCATTCAAAGGGGATACTGATATCAAGGGGTGAAGAGTAGGTACTCAGTACAGCGTTAGCCTCGACACCCAATCACGCACCCTCAGCTACCCTACCCTGAGTTCCAAAGTACTGAAGCCCCACCAGGGTGAACACCAATACTTTGGGAGCCAAAGGAGGGTCACCGCATTCGCAGCAGTATTTAGCTCCCAGCTTATCACGCTACTTTTCAAATAGCCCATGAATAAACTAACTGTTTTCACTATTATGAATAAATTACTTCTAAGACTAGGTATCGGAAAAGTTTCTTAAAGCTTACCAACACCACCATTGCATCCTTTCAAACTTTGCTGCTCCACCATTCGGCGATCCTCCAGTAGTGCTCCTAGCTTTGCTCGTGGTTCGATAGTGGCTAAAGTATATATCTGTATGCGTACAATTTCAACGGGAACATGTTCAGTGTTCTTCCCACGTAGATATAGCAAACTACTTTTCAAGATGACAGTGTAAAAAAAAACTTTGCCGTCTCACTGATGCACTTATTTTTACAGACTTCCAGTAGAGCTGATTATAATGTCCGTACATCAAAGTTACCAAGGTGGGTGGTGGCACCAGTTCAATTACTGTTCAGATTGAACTATCCCTGGTCTTGAAAGGTTTTGTTTGTTGAAGGCACCAAACAGATCTGGAGGGATATCAAACCGACAAATAAATTTTGACTCGAAAAGATCAAAGGCGTGAGCTACTCATTAACCATCAGTTACCGATGACAAATTGGACAGTTCTTGCCAGTCCCCATGCGGGAGAGCCATTAAGCTGGCGCAAAGGTTTTGCCCTAATCTCCGATTTTGGTATATCTGCTCTCAATCGGACAGTTTTCAAGCGGCAACCACAACATTTCCAGAAACAGTTCATGGTGCTTCTCTTAGTAGCATTCGATTTCCTTCTGGCCTTTTTTTCCCTGCAGTGGGCAGAACGATTTTGTCCCAGACCGTCAGTTATTACATCGAAGCTTTTTTCTGCCACTATGGCTCCAATATGGAAAGTGAAAGGTGAAATTAAGGGAGGTATAAGATGTTCATATCTCAAGTTACAAAACTATTGCCACCTGATACAAACGTGAGATGTGTGACAGCACTTTTGCAGACAAAGNAACTTAGCAAGCCTGGTCGAAGGAACTGAGAATGAAGAAGAAGTCGGATGATATTATATACCGACCACCTCAAGCCTGTCTATCTGATCGGTGTGTGTATACCTCCTTGACTCTGTTCAGCTGGCAATACGGAAACAGATGGCTGGAACATTTCATAAAAGGGATCCACCACAACTACTTTCGCATGGAAGTGAAAAGTGTCGGTCCACGAAAAACACCGAAGAAATTCACAAGTTCCGTGAAGGTTCGCTGTCGTTTCTGTGGGATGTACATGCCTCAATGCATAAGCAGTTACTTAATAATGAAGATACTGACACTACTGATTGGTAGTAGGACAGTAACCCCTCATCCCCTGTGTAACCCGGTCATCGCTCCTTCCAACTATTCTTTGAACTCTGACCTAACTCGTTTTGAAGTTGAACTGATGTACTTTACGCACTTTGTTTTGCACTAGCTGGCATGCCGGATAAACGAAATCCACAAGCTGTCTCAACGTTGCAAGAAGTAGTCGACCGAGGGGTACGGAACATTTCCGGAGATGAGCGCAGCAAATGAAGTTTCACATGATCCTCTTGAATCGATCAAACCGACGTGTTCATAATCAGCTTCAACTCTGAGCTTCGTTACTGTTCAGCGCATATGCTTCATGCCTGGATGATGAACGCCAGAATAGCCCAAATCGTCACGAATTTTGCCGCGCGATTACCACGTGCATCTTCGGCCGCACCAATGTACCCATACGCCAACAAGGATGGTGGTTATTCCGTGCGTTCTCTCGGTATTTTGAAAATGAGACAGATTTTCCTCGCCAGCCTGGTAGATTGAAGCCGCCCGCCTGACAGCCAACATCTTAGAGCCTTTCACCGGATAGCCCATCTTCACGATGATCAAATTAATTTGATTTCTATTGCTTTTATCGAATTTGGACACCTACAATAATCTGAGCTGAACTTGCCAGAAATAGAAGCTCATATCGCAAAAAGATGCCAGAAACTGTACACTTGACCGCGTCACGCAAACAGGAAACTCTTGAAATTTTACCGTAATCAGGGATCCCCAGAATAATAAGAGTTAAAATTCAGATAAATGACCTACACATGAAAACGTGGATATAGGAAACTAAACAGACAAAGGTTGACAACTAAACAGACAAAGGTTGGACAGTGGAACAGAACGTCTGAGGCAAGATCAATAGAAACCTTAATAGACAAGGTCCACAAAAAAGTTAGCAACGAGAACTGTGATTCCNGGGGGGGGGGGGCCCAGAATAATAAGAGTCATGGTCAGGTAAGTGGCCGTACATATGCAAACGTTGGTATAGGAAACTAAACAGGCAAAGATTGGACAGTGGAACAGAACGTATGAGGCAAGATCAATAGAAACCTTAATAGACAAGGTCCACAAAAAAGTTAGCAACGAGAACTGTGATTCCTTATTGCCTCCAAGCAGTTAGAATATTCTTCACCCAGGAAACAATAATTCAAAACAACTGATCAATCAGCATCTATTATTATGCTGCAGTAATAATAAGCTCAGTGGAGTTCAGAGGTCAGTGGAACATAAATATATCACGATGGTCATCTATAGAAATGTTTCTCACGGTATGGCAAGTCATTCGTAGTAATTTATCAGGTAGCGGACTGGTTTAGTGGTGGCTGTTAGGCAGTAAACGTCATCAAAAAAGTGAGAATTAAGAAATTCGATTACGGTAAAATCCCCCTTCCCTACTACCATCCTCTTTGTCTTTACTACCGTATATCTTCCTGAGCTGGAATCGCAGAATTATTCCTATATGGAACATAAGTTAAAAGAAATGCAACTTGATACTCGGAGAAATATTTCAATGCAAGCTTTTCGAGGAAGACAGCATTTGCTGAAGATCGATAGTTCCATATGAAAGGGTGTTTGGATTCATACCGATTATATGATGAGAACTTATTTTCTTCAGAAGTCATCATCGCTAGAATTTGTGGTTTGTTCTTTCACCAGGCAAGGAAAGACGAACCACTTCGTTGAAAGGTAAGTTCTCGACCTTTTGCTAACCAGTGATGGGAGAATATTTCTTGTAACGAGGAAGATCCCAATATTTTAGAGAGCTTCTTCATTTGCTTCATATGCTCTATATATTTCAGTTACAATACAATTTTATTCATTATCATTTACAAGGGAAGGATATTAGGCCACAATATCCATTCAGGATGAGATGTATTAAGCCGTGAGTTTTTCGGTGTGCCGATTCAAAATATTTTCCCTTAATCTGCTAAAGATTTTGGGGACAAAGTTGCGTTTTCCATTTTTGTTATATCACTGGCTGCTTTCATAGTCCGCCGGCGGACTATGAAAGCAGCCACTGCGTTGCAAACATATGCACATCGAGTGTAATCGCATAGCGATGTGCTGTTGGTGGCTCGGCGGACTCGCATTAGGAGCATGGAGTTTCGAATCTTTGAGCATGTACTTGTTCTGCTTTTTCATATAACGTCTCCTAAACGCTTGCAAATTGCTTTTATGCCTCGAACTGACTACTTGTAGCTGTACCGCTTATTTGAGGAACACATCCAAATGAGAGTTTTCCCAACCTCCACTTCTGTTCAAGTCAAGGTGCAGTTCCATTTCAGGAAAAAAAATCGAGGGAAGACCTTAGTTCAAAATAAGCAAAGTCTCTGGCGATGCTTGAGGGTTTCTGCATAAAGTTGTCACATCATTCATTGACACTCTTCAACATATTATCAGCGATGCACCATGTGTAAAGTTGGAGTTATCATGTTTTTAGAGGATTTTGACTTTGGTATAGGCAAGGAAAAATTCCTTTTGCATTACCATTCATTCTCCTCAAAAATGTAACGGCTGCAAATAGTCATTATAAAGCGTAAGAGCACTACGGAGCGTTCAAGAGAAGTTATTCACAAAAGCAGGAAACCGCACCGCTGGAGCATCAAGGATCCGAACCCCCATGCCCTTCCGCGCATCCGGCAACCTACCAACTGCGCCATCGCTATATGACATGGTGATACTCGATTTGTATTACCATGTCGCGTAGCAGAGGCAGTACAGTGGCATAATACGGGAGAGAAACGTTTTGTAACTTTGTTGCCAAAATTGTTTGGCAGATTCGGGGATGGGCATAAGATTATCGTTTGAAAACACTCAAGCCATACACTCATCTTGTACGTCGATTGCCACCTTCATAGTGTCCCTCCTTTGTTAGTGTAGAGCCAAACAGCATAGCTATCGCCGTAAGCTACAGGGACGAGAGTTTCAAAATATCTCGACTCACCTGAGCGAATTTGAAATCGCATTGCAGATGTTGGAAGAGCTTGGCGATTGTCACGATTTGCTCCGAGACGAACGGCTTGGTGACTAAAAAAACTCCGTTCATAAGTACTCCAAAAAAAACTATTTTTAAGAAAAACTCTTTTGATACGAAGGTTTACTTAGGAATTGTTCTTGTGTTCAGTCCTGAGTTTCAGGTAAGCACTTTTTAGCTATACAGCAACTTGCACTTTTCATACGACGCACCTTTTCAGGGAAACATTTTGAAGATAATTTTCTCTCATGTTGCAAGCGTGATCACCTACATAACGGAGCATTTTAAAGAAGATTGATGCAAGTGGCACTTTCAAAAGAGCCCTTTTTCAAATGTAGACGAAAAGTCTGCTGTTTTTTGCATTCTTCTCGTTACTCTTTGCTATTTCCCATATCATTAGGTCATTTTATCTATCTTTGAAATTGTTAATAGCTTGAGTTTGTAGTTTTACCTCTATCAGATTACCTTCCAAGGTATTATGCAATATCCCTCACAACTTGAGCTCTTGTTGCAAACTCCTGCTTTTAGCATAGTGCTACGACTTGCACTGCTTTTGGCGAATCTCGTCTTTGTTTTTATTTTATTCGATTTACTATCTATTTGTTTACCCTCTAGTATGAGTTGCCGCAATTACCGCAATATCAAGAAATAAAATGTTATAAGAGCGACTTTTCACATAACTCGTGAGGTCCCAGCTGCCCATTTGTAAGCACCAGAGCAGTAAGTATGGCAGGAGACTTGATTGTATAAGAATGGGTTTGGCTGTTCTAACAAAATGAAGGATGCAATCAGATTAGTCCTAACCTATCAAACCTATCACTGATCTTATTATGCCCTAGATTGCTTATATTTTTCCACGAACGCATAGATTATCCAAATACAGCAAGTTTTAGAGTTTGAAAGAAATTTTATACTAAATCAGGTGTCTACAGAGATGCCACAAGTCTTGGCGGCGCCAACACATAAAGGCACAGTCCACGTAAATTTTAAGTAATCCAGTTCATGACGAAAAATGGAAGATAAGATGGAAAATAGTGCGATGATGACGAAGAAACTGCGTGCATCGACGTCTCCAAAAAGATATAAGACCCCGAAAAATCGTTAAAAAGGGGGTGGACGAGAATGAGACCAGGATAATGAAGAAGTCGGACGAGCTATACAACGCATATCAATGGGGTGTGTGTCAAGTCGTGCGTCTGAGGGCGCGCGCGGCAAATTGCGCGACGAAGTTCGTAGCGAATTGGGACCACTCCGGCGCCTACCATTGGGGCCCAAATCCGAAGTAGGGTAGATTAGTAAGGTCACCTGATAATACTATTCTACTGTACTTCAAAATTGGGCCCAAATAATAGGCGCCAAAGTCGTCAGAATAGGTATGAGTTTCGCCGCGCAGTTTGCCGCGCGCACCCTCGGACGCACGACTTGACCGTCCCCGTGTCATTGCGTACGTGTGGGTCCTGGGGCGAATAGCTGACTGTGGTAACCACAAATTCGTTCACTCATAAGCATAAAATAACAAAAAAAACGGTAACAGCAAAAATAGCTCACCTCTTTCAGCCTCTTGGAGTAGAAATTAGGGATTGCAACAGAAAAAGAATAACAGAGGACAAAAGAACAGGAGGAAATTACCGCCTCACTACTCGGCGATCAGCTTATTGTGTGTGGGTCCTGGAACGAATATTGCAATCTGTAANACCGTCCCCGTGTCATTGCGTACGTGTGGGTCCTGGGGCGAATAGCTGACTGTGGTAACCACAAATTCGTTCACTCATAAGCATAAAATAACAAAAAAACGGTAACAGCAAAAATAGCTCACCTCTTTCAGCCTCTTGGAGTAGAAATTAGGGATTGCAACAGAAAAAGAATAACAGAGGACAAAAGAATAGGAGGAAAATACCGCCTCACTACTCGGCGATCAGCTTATTGTGTGTGGGTCCTGGAACGAATATTGCAATCTGTATCGCCCCGACACTCGCCTGACGTGACATCGATCGAGGGCGGGAAGTCCGGACGATCCGGTAACGGGGCTCCCACAATGCCCTAGCTGTTGAGATTTGGGACTCGACAGCGTCCTTCCTGTTACCTTTGGGGTCCAGTGGCTATTCCTAGAGGGGGAAGTCAGAAACCATTTTTATCGTGAACTATGCCTTTAACTGTGCTAACTTGCAGCCTTTTTCACAATTCCACTCAATCTCTAAATGTCGGACCTTCCAGTCATGCCCTTTATTTGGGGTGACTCCGCCTGAATAGGAGCAGAACACCTCGGAGTAAGGAATTATGAAGCTACCTCACCCTGGACTGAAGGTGAAGATCTTAGTAATTCTTATTACTCGTGTTTTTTTATTCGTTAGAGAGAGAGAGCTTCTGAACAGCCTTGCCGAGCAATTGCTTAGAGAAGTCCAAAGCGAACTTACTATGGGTGCTCCGAAGACTAAAAGCAGAAAAGTCAAAACTGAATGTACTGTGTCCTCTGAAATCGCGACGAAAACGTACAGCACGGATACTACATGGGGTCCCCTGAAAATTACATTTCAAGGGCGCTCTCAGCTGAATTACGGGATTAGCGAGAAACAACCAAGATTTAAATGATAATACAGAATGCGTAGCACACTACGGTTTCCAACTGATAAAGATTCGAGCAGTACGCTTTGTCTATTAGCTTTCCGAATCTTTTAAGGCTCGTTCTTCAATTAAGTTTCAAGGGCAAATGATGAAAAGAGTTTCTGAGATTTTTCTTCGGGATGAACCTGTGACCCCACGGGAACCACAAGAGACGTTGTCGTATGGCTGCTTTCATAGTCCACGAATTGGTCCACGAGCGAGCGAGCGATTGGGGCGGCGCTTTGCCGTGTTTACAACTAAATCTTGGTCGACACCGCCGGACGAGTAGTCCCCCGGCTGGCTCGCGGGCTCGCTCGCTCGCTCACGGACTATGAAAGCAGACTATCGAAAAGCTGCCTATAGCATGTAATAAGGAACCCAAAACCGGCTCAGCCCACGTTCACACCCAAGCTGGACGAGTTCTTAAGCATGGTAAAATCTATAGAGGTTGCACTATCCGCATCGGAACGCGCACCTTGCTCGCGGGCAGCCTGCTGTAGCCAGCTGTAGACAATTGTACACACATTAGGGCAACTCATCCAAATACCTCTTCCATGTAACTTTTGTCGCCTTATAGTCTCCAATCACTAAACTGGTGACTGTTGTGTGTTGGTGACTATGCATCCAGTGTAATCTCAACCATATATTATTACCCCCATATAAACTATAGCTTGGTGTAGTGGCACGTCATTTTCCTCCTCTACTTCGGCTGTACATCGTGCCTGCCGATGAATCGTCATATCCTTTTATCTACTCGACGATAAGGCTACCAGGACAACAGCGGACGCAACATTACTACTCTCTTGAACCCTTAGTATTTTTGAAAATGAGCCGATCTCCACATTTTCTTCGCCACTTTTCCACTAGTCTGAAGGAACACCCCATTAATCGCCTAAAATTAGATACCCTGGAAGATCGTGAACCGTGACTCTAATAGACTGCAAAAACTACGCAAGTGACTCTACCCTTTCAGTTCCATTAATGCTAGAGGGATCAAACTTTAGGAAACTAATACATAAACCGTAGATGATGAGATAAGAAATGTTTTTCTCAGATGTAGAACACTACTGACTTCTAGGGACCCCATTTTGTGGTTACTCCTTGATTGTAGTTGAACGTATCACACCTGAAGAGATCCTCATTTTCGATATCACATCAAGTTTGACACTTCGTAGTGACACCCACTCCTATTCCAACTCTCAATATGAGACGAATGAAAGCACATCAGAAATCATGAAAAAAAAAATCCGAAAGATAGGATGTTAAAGTTTTTGCCCGTTGCCGCTGATGAAACCGTACTGAAAAGGGCAATGAAGAGGATGGTCTTTGATTACCCATCCGAAAGGAACTGTTTGGGCTGTGTCAGCACGGTTTTAGTGAGGACTGTTTGATTTGCTCTTGTTTGTTGCTATCTCACCTTGTTCTAAACCCTCGCTATAGTAGCTACTGTGTCATTTTTGCAAGCAAAAGCTCTCGACTTTGTTCATTGTTGGTTTCGATAGGACCAAAGAATTCAACAATGTTCACAAAACAACGACGGAGAAAAGGAAGAAATTCGGAACCCATAAACATTACGCTGCCTAAAACAGCGAAGATATCAGAAGACAATCTATCGTCGCACCAATTTTCAGAAATTCATTCTTGATCGTTTTTTGGTCCTTTAAACTACTTTGAATAGAGAAAAGTCATATAATGAAAGTACAGCAAAAGCAACAAGACTCATTACGCAACGCGGAGTGCCATTATACAAGATCTCAATGGCAAAGGAATAACGCGAAAAACGCAACGTTCAACCGATTTCAATGAAAGTAGTAACGGGGTCTTCGTAGGCAACAAACATTGTATGAAACTACCACTTATCAAAATATTACTTTGACTCATAGTGCAAATTCTACATCACACATCTTCACTAAACCTTCCACACTGTTTTTCATCCTCACATTACCCCAGCCCCTCATCCCTTTCCCATCTATCTAGAACAGGCAATGAATGGAACTTCATTCAATCCGCGCCCTCTTTAGTGGAGATTTCATTTGAAAGTCATCACTTGTAGAGTACTTACGACACTACTTATGACAAAGTCGTGGTACCGCACAAATCACAAAATCAGAACGAAATTTGCAATGAGGGATTTTGTTTGAGGTACAATTCAATACGGTTAAGAGAAGTGGTTTGTATAGTCGGAATGAGAAACCAAAGATGTCCAGAACTGGGAAGTCCACGTGCCTGTCATCCCCGTTGTTGGCAAGCATAAACTATACATTGCGTAGCAACAATATTAAAAGGAAGAATCAGCTATAGACAGATACTTTTGTTACTATTATTATCGTTCACAATCCACGTGCCTGTCATTCTCGTTGTTGGCAGGCATAAACTATACATTGCGTAGCAACAATATTAAACTGAAGAGACAGCTATAGACAGCTACTTTTCTTACTATTATCATCGTTC